CTATTCTATTTTCGACACAACAAATCACGGGTATTCGTTTCTGAAACTTCGAGGGTGTCGGCATTTCTGTAAAATATTGCTAGATCCATGTATGAGAATGTAAATGTCAAGTGCTATCTTAGACAAGGGTATTTCTGACTATTTTGGTTGTAATATTGGTGTGAGACAGAGCCGCGTTATTCTCTCTGTGTGCTTCTGACAAGACAAGACAAGACCTCGGCCCAAAGTCAGTTAATAACCAATACCTGCCGAATATTAAGTACTCCAACGATCAGAAATATGCAGATGATATAGTTATGTTTTCCGACTACATCGTCTAATTTATGTTTCTGATTTTGTAATGTTTCTGTAATGAATGGAATCTGAAACTGATAAATGGAAATACGTTGTATATAGAAAGGGACCACAACGCTAGAAATGAAAATTAAGTTCGATTAAAATAATCGTGATTCTAAACAATGAATAATTTAGCTATACAATCAAGAAAAGCAATGTTTTCACTAAATGGTCTTATATATAAAGTGGGGTCACTAAATTATAATGTATATTGTATTGCTTAATTGTTCAGTTTCCAATATATGAGGTTATATATATCACGGTTACTAAAACGTTTTTAGTAACCGTGTATATATATATACATGCATATGTGTGTAAGTTGATAGCGTTCAAATACCTCAACGCCATTTTTGTTAAAATATTGTCCCGGCGTATTAACCACAAAATACTTATATTAAGTTGCAAAACACTTATATTTACACACTTCATAAATAGGACACTTAACGTGGCTATAACTGATAAAATATATACTATGGGGGGGGGGGGGTGTTTTAATGGAGTTGGCCATAAACGTCTGTACATATGTTTGAAAGCAAAGTTCGTTTAACGTGTGACATATATCTATCAACCGGACTGGTACACTGAATTTTGTTACCAGGATATATTTAAAATATATTACACATTCAAAAGTCAACTGGAGCCAGACAAATATTTACCGGTTATATGTAGCTCTGTATCACAACTAAATAATACGAACGCCAAACAAGTGTATAACTGTGGCCTTACTATAGAAACGCCCTCAGTACTAGTTAACGTTATCATATGGTGCATTCGTTTTTGTTTGTTTTTAATTATTTAAATGTACTGTTCAGTAGTTGCGCGGAGATTCATATCTGAAATCGTTGTATTAGTATATTGTACTGTACATTTTTAAAATACTTGAACAAAGTGAGTCCAATCATCGGTACATCCACACAACAATCTAAAACAGGCTTAGTATAAACGTCAAAAAACGAAAGCATCATATTATAACTTTTTAATCATAACTGAGGGCGTTTCCACTGTATATTATTTATTATATTTGCACACATTACTAGTATTAGGTTATATATTATTAGGTTTCAGTGACCGAATTTGTTGACCGCGATGTTTGAGTTTATTGCACACAAACAGACAACGAATCACAACTGTATTTTCTAACCAAAGGAGAGATACAATGCCTAACAACGGACATTATTTGCCAGAGTTTGACGTGTTTCTATTAGGACTACGATAATCGCCATATAAAAGGGCGGTGGTCTTTTCACATCGTGTGTTCGAAGTTCATGTATTTTACACACGTTGTATACGTCGCCATGAGTCTAGTATCGAACAAGACTCAGACCACTGACCTTTAAAACAAACAGGCGTAGACACTGCCGATGGTTTAGTGAAATATTAACACCTATATTGTTTAGTGTGATGGACCCCACGGTTGGGTACAGGAGCATAGAAGTTTATAATTAAAATTGTTTTCCATAAGAAACATGAGACCATCATACATGGCCTTATAAACAGCCTTTTACTTCATAGTGGGGTGGGTGGAGTAAAGCTGTGATTATTTTTATTACTTTCTGACCATCTAGTTTGCCATTTACCATGCCCATATAAACTAAAGCTCCAGCCAATGTCAGATTTGACTACTTGTTTCAAGCTATGGCACTTGGAAATGAGTGTTGTGACATGTGGCAAATGTCCAACAGTCTTGGTTAATAAGATTGGTTAAATTTCAACTAGAAACAGGTAAACCAGTATACCTGTATGTACGAAACCAGTGAATGTTATTCAAGCCAAAGAAACTGCATCTATTTAAATAAATACACATGGACAGAGAATATTTTCTTGGAGCACTAAATGTGACCTACTGTCTGTGATAAATATACCACACCAGCTACATAGTGCCCGACGAGGAGCTGGGTAGGTAGTGAAGAAAAACATTGACTGAAGCCTGGCAGAGGACTGAATTGTTGCCAACAGCAACAAACATACTGGGAAAGTCAAAGGCAGTGAAAAAACAAAAAAAAACACACAGGCATATAAATATAAACTTTCTAGGATCTTTATTGACTCCAAGTAATCCAGAGTAGAACGAGATGAATCAACGCTATACTCCGCCATCTTTATTTTAATATTAGATGCAACCATTATTCTGTAGGGGACAACGGGTCATATTTTGAGGGGAGTTAACACCCATGATTTTTAAAATGCCTTGATCAATAAGAGTCTAAGTTACAGGGAACATTATTTTGATGTTTCAGTGGACCAATAAATGCATTTGACAGGATATATGGCGGACTTGGAATTTGAACCCATCTGACCACGCCTAATCCGTACCATGTCAGGAACATAACATGCTCGCTCCGGTCGTATACACACAGTCGTTTAAAACAATTTTTTTCCCGCTTTATCCATTTGTCTGTGTTATCACTACTTATGCGACCCCGGCTTCAATTCGCTTCTCTGTCACAAAGGTTAAATATGCGACCGTCCATTAACACGCTATGTCGATGGTAAATACTATAAAATAAAATAAATCATCTTTAAAAGCTATAAAATAATATAAAATAGAAGGGAACTAAGTTGTTATCTCCCCTTTGCTGCATTGCTACATGATTGTACAAGTAAACAGTTATTAGAGCAGTGTTTACACATGTCAGCATACTGTCATATTTCATTATAGCTCTATGGTCTCAAACACAATTATTTAATTCTACAAAATGAGTTAAAACTTTTATTGTTATACTTTATTTAATACCTCATTCTGTGACACTTATCTCCGCGTCACATATGTATGGCTACTCGTGGTGAATATGCGGGCAAACGTTGACGTGACAACAGGGTTTGGGCGATCCGATTGATGTTATTCTTAGATTTGCGATTTTTGAAGCACGGTATTAATAACCTGGGTCAACAGGGTGAAACACAGGACACTAGCACTCAGTGACGATTAAAACAGTGTCACATAACGCTGCATTCGTAGAAACTTACCTGAGTTTCCAATGTAACTTTGGATTAGACACCAAACAACTCAATTCAATATGACGTTCGTGCAGTTACTTGTGATTTGGTTCAACTGTTGGTCGTGGTTCACATGCTATGCCTGTGTATAGTATTGGGCCTGTTTAACACCGAGATGATAATATTAAGTTGCCGTAATGCCATTATGTTCGAGGGCGGAGTCACCCAGCCCTGTCTGACATGCAGGTCCAAATGTGGAGATGTATAGAAATAATTGGATGCGTAGATCAACTTACAATTGAAATAGTCCCAACAGTTGTGAACTCCTCGATGTGGAACTGGTGGTACATCATTCATATTAGACGTGCGCACACATATTGAATTAGCCCATTTAACAGTGGCAATTATCCGTGTCAAATTGTGCGTGTTATCATTTCTGTGCTAGTCAATGGTCCAATACCTTGAACACAAAATTAAACAAAAACTAAATTAGAAAGTTATTTTGTCATTAAAGAAGGCATAAATATTTGTTTATACTAGTACCTTGTAAGACACCTATTTGATTCTATACCAATGAGCACAGTCTTGAGATAACAATATTTATTTGCTTGTTATACAATAGACAACAATAGTGAAATGACATAACTCCAGCAAAACATGCTCTTTTACCTTCTCGTCTATCAAATTTTCCCGGATACACTGATTTTGGAAATGTACTATATATATTGAATAAAATTAGGTATGCAAATGAGATAATTAGGAGCTGGAAATGTACTCTTCTATGTATACAAGTAATTGATTTAAAATAAACAACTTGAAGTTTCTTGAGATACAGCTGCGACAACAGGGTTAACAAGTTCCTATATACTTATTATGCAAATTAGCAAATAATTAAACATCAAACACAAGATTCACACAACAAATTGGTTGTCTGTAATTAATTTCATCAGAATCTGCGCCTTGACTTATACCTACCAATTCTAAAACATATCAGTTGTTCACTTTTATTATCTGCTGGGAGGTTGCTGTGCACCGGCACGTGTGTCAGGGAAAACCTCACGCGTAAGATGTCACCAGTATGTAAATGTATGAATAAAAAAAGAAAATGAAATCATTGTAATTTTTGGAAGCATGCATCCTTATAGTAACTTTTTATTAAGTGTTTATTAAAATTAAATGGACATATAACTCAGGTCGTGTTTTTCTTTCAAGTATTTGTCATATAGGACATACTGCAATTTAGCTTTTCTTTTTCTTCTATATTCCTCGACACTCGTATTAGTATCAACTGACACCCTGTCAGATGGGTCCGACCCCCGAACAATACATATTGATTAGTCTCTTTGCTGGATATGAAAAACATAGAATATAACCAACGTGTCAGGATATGAACCAAATAGACTCTCTTCAACCACCTGTCGATAGCTTGTGTATCCTTGTCGCTTTTAATTTTAATTAGTTTGAAATAATTGATGGCACCTGTTCAAACAACACCGGCACCAGCATGTTAATTTGTTTTGCCCCGAACCCGATATGCGTTACTAGAGGGTGTGCAGCCAGTACTTAATTGATGCCGCTATATTTAACACCAGGCTTAGTTAGCGCCGTATAACACCGTAAGGGCAGGTTGAAACATATCGTCGCATGCCGCATACATCATTGGTATCTGTGCGTGATTGTAGTCACGTAGCAGATGTCGTCTAATATCCTATCTGTAAAACTCACTTTAAGGTGCAGCCCACATACAGTAAACGGTACAGCAAGGCTGGATATTGGAATGAAATAGTGCATGACCCTTAAAGGTCACACATCCTGGTAAATTTCGAAGGCATTGTTGTCCTGCAACGGCATTTTTTTTAAATAATATAACCTCATTATGTCATCATGAATGGTTTCATTTTTGTTGTGATACTTAATTGTCTTATTTCATTGATAATGCAAGTACCAGGATGTGTGACCCCCAGAGGTCAAGGCATATTATTGAAATACAGTACATTCGGGAACTATATATATTTATTTACGTTACTAAAAGCCGCAGTCAATATTGGTTGACCGCGGTAAAATCAATTACATTGTTTACAAAAAGTTTCATTACAGTCAATGCAGGTGTTTGTTATCAGTTTTTAATCTGAAGTTTTAAGTGTCACCATGGTTACAAGGATGGGTCAATGTTGATCCTCCCAGACGGTCTGTAAACATTTAAGTCATGACGTAGCAAGACCATGAATGATAAAGGCAACTTGGCGACATACTGTGGTATAATTTCATAACAAGTTGCTAATTCTGAAAAGCATTGCAGAATTATGATATTTGAGAATTTAACGGTTACATATTTGATGATTAACCTTACAAAATCCTGAAACTGACGTTTTAGCTTATAGAGCTGTCTAAAGTTTTTTTTTTACATTTTACGAGGAGTTGAAAATTACTATCGATAGTATTCAATGCATCATTGCAAACTAATCTCCGGCGTTATTGAATTAAACCCATAACACTACTTTAAATAAATATGATCGCCAGTCCGATGGCAGTCATAGAGTGTATAATCTGGTTTGATTGTTTGTAATTTATTAACTCAAATCCACTGAAGGCAATTTTCAAATGAGCAGCCATTCTGTATGGTAATGTAAAATAGAGGTCCCAGCACGTTGCGGTAAGTTGGAGTCAATGCGAAGCTACTTACAAGACTGTGTCTGATTGGCTTCCCGACCATAATGTCTAAACGTCTAACCAATCAGAGGGCAGCTTGTTTGTTGACAAGGTGTTTTTTTTTCGACGTATCAAAGCCTGCCTTGTATATATGTTTCGACTCAACTAGTAAGTTTCCATACTATGACAAATTAAATAATAGCCAAGTCCAAATTTTTTTTTAATTCCTCTGAGTGTAATATTTCCCTACAAAATCGACGTGTGGACTTTTTATTTGTTATTTGTCACTGCAGGACTTTTTCCTGTGCATTTGTTCTATTCTGCCATCGCCCCCAGAATTTATAATGGTCTATCCATTTATTCTACTCTTTCAAATTCATTCCATAGTAATTTTCCATGTTTCGTTGTACCCGTCCCTATATTCAATTTTCAATCCTAAACGTCAGTTCCATCGATAAAAATAAATGTACTCGTAAATTGCTTTCATTTTTGGTATAAACTGTTTAATGCTCTCCTCAATTTCAATATTTTACAAGTATTAATCAATTAAATAACATTAAGGGATAATCTCCTTTGATGACCGGGAAAAGATATATTTTGTAAAATATATGGTTATTTTAGCGATATATGAACAAATATTTCTGACGTACTCGCTTAAGTTCGGAAAAAACAAACAATCGACTATGATCGTCTAAACTATTTTAAATTGTACATTTTGATACAATCCATGCTATAAGTACACTAGATAAACACTACATTTATCGTTATTTAAAATATTAAAGCTAAATATAAATATGTCTTTTTTGTTTAACATAACAATGCAAAGTTGATCGGGAGAATTGAAGTCCGTAAATCGGATAAGAGTTTGAGTTTGAAATGAGTGACGTGGGTAAATCGCCATATCGTGAGATAACGAAGTAGTCCGCTAAGGTCATACGTGTGTTTATTGATTGATTGCTTTGGAGGCCGGTGGAGATGGGAGTAATGACGTGTTGCCGTACCAGCTACCTAGTCAATAATTGACTCCTCAATAATCGCTGTATAATAATACTACATTCAAAATATGTATGCACACTAATATATTGTTGAATTTTTCTAAAGTAATATATTGCTATTTTAGATTAATTGAAATAGATCAATCAGACAGTGGATCGACGCGTTTGAATGCATGTGCCGCGGACTTTCTTTACATTACAAGTTGTTCCATGTCAACATTTTTGTATGCATCCGTGATATTACCATTGCTACGCACAGTACAATATATATACATTTGGCTAATAATATGCTGATGGGTCAAACTGTAATATGGACCTGTTGCTTATGGCAAGGTAAAAAAAAAGCGCTAAATATTAATAAAGTTACACGTACATGTATACAACAACGCATTAATTCGCTGTTCAACTATATTAGCTAGAATGACACACTCGGCATTAATGTTGTGTCCAGCATATTATGCATTTCACAGATAACTGCGGTGTTAATTTTTCAGTGGTCGCAGACTTGAATACTGTTCGTCATCACTGGTGTCAGCTATCATTTCTATTTCTTCTTGTCTAATACCATTACTTTTCGATGGGCTCTCATTGACGTAATATTGACTTCGTTTTCGCCATCGTCGGCCGCAGAACAGGTACACGGTTCCGTATATGCAAGACATGATGATTATATTTAACAGAATGTGCCAGCTATAGGCCATCGTTACGAACATTGTAGCTCTGTGATCGTTAGAGTCCCATGGAATACCAGACACGGGTCTGTAGATGATGAAGGCTGCGTGGAAAAAAAACGTCCCTTGTAGCGACACTAGACCAGTGCGCATGAATGGAAGCAGCCACTGCGTGGGATGCCATATCTCAGCGGCGGAGACAACGCAACAGGCGAAAGCAGTGATGAAAATGAGAATATGGATATTGTTCTCTAAAGACCCCTTTCCGTGGCGGTGATTATACAGCAGAAACGACTCGACGCCGAACGCCAATGCAACGAAGAGCTTCTCCAAAGTTTTCGACCTATGTTCCAGAATCTTCAGACTGATAATATCAACGATACCACTTATAGCGAAGTACGAATACATGGTAAAATGTTGCCATTCGTTTGGGTGCTGCAATTCACCATCTCTAAACATCTCCAGTTTGTTAACTCCGAGAGGGTAAAAAAACTCTGCCAAAGCCGCCATGGTTCCGTAGACTATTTTCATAACTGACTCCCACGGCACGCTTGACATACATCGACGACAACGTCCCTTTGGTCGCTGTGCTGAACTCTGTTTCAGGAATTGCTCTGCTTGGTACCGATACGAATATTGGAACATCCATAACAAACCGAAGGTGTAGAAAGCAACGCCCGGTGAGATGTGTCCTTCGAACGTACCCATGTTCCAGTTAAAGCGAGGCGACGGCAATGGTGACTACACTACGTGTGGTATTAAAGTTAGGAAGTCAATCATCAACAGACGACACAGATTCAATGCTGATAATCGTTTTTTTTAACTAAAACACGAACAGAGGACACGTAAAGAGACTAACTCCGATGTCGTGTTGCGTCTAGTTGTACCAGCAAAATATCCAGCTTAAGTAAAAATAACTGAACTGGCGTTTTGCTAGCCACAAGTAACAGTTATGATTCTTTTGATTGGCCAGGTAGGCGAGTCCAAAGAAGGATCAGTCCAGAGTCTCAGTGTATATTGATTAGTCACGAAACTGATCAGATAATGTGTAACAATATATGGGTTACCTTTGGTCAAATAGATAATAAAATCAGGTTAAACTTCAACCTACTTTAATATCATAGTTCAGCATTAATTGAAGAGTTCGTTATTTGAACTTCGTTTTCACTGAAATGCTGATGATGAAAATAATAGTAAATTCCGCCCAGAAACGAAATAAACTCAATGACAATGTTTCGCTCTGCGCCGAAAAGATGTCGAGACGATATCTACAATCGACTCTTGCGGAGTGAGAAATCTCAAACCAGTGGGTAATTGCGCCCTCTGTCGACAATTAAATAAATCGAGTTCGATGCAGAACGCATTCGAGCTGTAATCGAGATTTGTTTTTATTTATTTATTGGCACATTTATGTAATACGACGGTTTATATGGTATGAGTGATATGATATCAGATTACGCAACAAAATAGTACAGCGGAAGTATAAACAGTGATTTTATTGACTCTGGTTTTCAAAATAACTCAGATTTATTTGAAGGTTGGACATTAATATTCAATTGCAGTGTCACGTGCCAAGTGGTCCTTGAGTCCCAAGCGACGGTAACAACATACACTAAAACGCAAAGGCTCATGCGCAGGTAACGACTCCCCTACTTTAACTTTTAATACAACAACGTAAACTAAGTTTCGTGTAAAACTGCATTCATTTTTTTATAGGATATTCCGTTTAAAAATAGGAATATATTACTGATTTTAAAAACCAACGCATGATCTATTATATATGTTATATATGGTTTTCAGCAGTAAAGTCGTCCTACATCGTATATTCTCCTATGGCATTACCGATCCCCGTCCACGATAAAATATTTGCATGTGGCATGGTCGCCTTGTGGGCTTAGTTCCGGGTATCATTGCCATATAACCATAATAATAACCATTTTGTCAACGGTACCTCTTGCCTATTTTTTTTTAAACGTTAAGGTATTTCAAGCGATGGTTGCCTCGCTTTGGCATTTCACAAGCAAATTGTAGCATTCGACTAAATCATAAGAGCTATATTCAAACAATCAGCCTCATGGCTGCAATAGCCCCACTGTTAGCAAAGCACATTTCAATTGAAGAATTAAAGATATCATCACAAAATGAACAAATCTGAGAGCGGTCCACCTGTAGTACCTTTATGTATAATATCAAATCAATCATACTTACAGTTTTTAACAAGAAGTGAAAATATCATTTTTTACCAAAAATGACAAAAATATTCATCAAAATTAGAAAACTGAAGATATCACCATGAAATGACCAAATTTTAGTTAGATCCACCAGTAGTGCCTATTTGTACAAATCAAACTAATCAGACTTGTGGTTTTTAACAAGAAGTGAAAAATATCACTTTTTACCAAAAATATTCATCAAAATTGGAGCAATGAATATATCATCATAAAATGAACAAATCTAAGCAAGGTCTACACAAAGTTTCAAAGCAATCAGACTTAGGAAAAGTAAAAAGTTGACGCGAATGACAACGACGGACAATTACTCATATGATACGCTCTGCTCGACAAAGTCAACAGAGAAGCTAAAAAAGGACCAAAGGGAATGCCGAGAGTCTAATTAAACTGTTTGGTTTGAAATTCGCAAAATTCTGAACATTTTGTGAAAAACAATGAATCAAATACACTATAAGTACTAGTACTCAGTGCTTTCATGTTTGGTTTTATGTTCAAGCCAAACGGGTGTTTACAGTGACCACCCCAAACACAAAACATGCGATCATCTTCCATATTTTGACACTGTCCATTTGACCATGGAGCTCCATGATTTGACCAAACCGGTGCCAAAATTGTGGTTTACTGGTCACATCAGACAGGTGGTCTTTAACATGCAAATTGCAAAGGTGGTCACTATGTACGGGGGCAAAGTGGTTTTAATATAAAGGTCACCAAAACAGGTCTGACTGTGCAAAAGAAATTAGACAAATGTATTTCTTAGAACTTATGTATTTCTTATTCCTAAACCACCAAAGAATACCACTGTACATTTCTATCATATCCATAGTGTGCTGGTGAATAATTCCACATAATTGTCTTCAGAATACACAAATCATACTAATCTATACATTTATTAATGAATACGATCCCCATAATATTAATAAAACTACCAGATAATGGTTACACTTAAAAATACACTGTAAATACAAATCACTGTAAATGACATAAACCCCATTGTAAATAGAGGAAATGTTATTCATGCATAAGATAAAGTTATTTATTTTTTGTTAAGAGCTGGTTCTCGAAATAAAAACTATTATTATTATTATTATTATTATTATTAATAATCTAAGATGGATGCATAATGCATAAGAAAACCTTGGATATGCTAATTACTGGTCATGTGACCAGGTAAATTGTTGACCAATAAGTATATAGTATATGATCAGTAATACACAGTTAATAATATTCAACTAGTATTGACAAAATTAGATTTCTCAAAATGATTGTTTTAAATTTAAAAACTAATACCACATGGTCATAAATGTTAAAAGATAAAAAAATTCTCATATTTTTCTTGTTTCTTCTTGATTTTTTTTTGATTTTTTTTGAAAACAATCTACATACATTTAACACAAATTTTGGAAGATATTCCTACAAATTGACATTGATATATGTAACAAATATGAATATGTCACAGAGATATAATAATATTGTTTGTGCAAGAGAATATTTCAAATAAAGCACATACTAAACATGAGGCTGATAGATTCATTAGATCAAAAGATATTGCAGTTTATAAAAAAAAAAGACTCAGATAGTCACCAAAACAATCATCACATCTAGGCCTCAGCATTGTAAAAGTAATACAGCTGCAATTATCAGAATTCACCAAGGCTGCCACTAAGGAAAGGATTGGGATAAAAGCAATGGTGTATACCAAGGACAAAAACATGTTCAAAAAGATAAACTAACTTCCACAAGCTCGATACACCAAATAGAAAGTGTGATCAGTATGGGATACCCAGAAAAGGAAATTATTTAAGGTTGTGATTGAGGAATAGATTTTAAATTTTAAAATTAATCAAATTTAAATCAAAATGAATTGACAAGAACAGAGTAGATTAGTAGTATGGCCAATTGTAAAGCGAATTCATTATGTTCACATATCCTAACATGTATAATGTATGATACCATGTTTTAATTAAAACTTACAAAGCATGTCTACGGTATCTTTTTTTCAAAACACAATTAACATGGCTGTTAGTCGGCCATCTTGGATTATATCACTAAAACACTGTATGCGCATATATTCCCAACTAGGAACATGCAAATAATGAATGAATTCAGTCCAGCGGGTTCTGAAATATGACTGCAGCCGAATTATTAGGCTGTATTTTGAACTCTGAATGAATTCAGTCCAGCGGGTTCTGAAATATGACTGCAGCCAAATTATCAGGCTGTATTTTGAACTCCATTCAAACAGAAACTGATTATGTAAATGTATAATCTTAAGTACATAATACCAATAGTACATAATATCACAATGGATTGTAAATGGTTTATATAAAATACAGATAGTGGCTGATTATTATTCAAATATATTAAATTTTAAGATAAAAGTGAGGAATATCCAGCATTAGAAAAATTTAAACCAGTGTAATAGCACAAAACACATTTAATAAAACACTGTTTTGTTTCTAAAAACAAAATTATTTAAAAAAAAATTAGCAATTCTTCAACTAGTTATGAGATAGACATTATTGATATCCAATTATAATTTAATAGTCAGGTGATCAGCCAAGTCACATGACAGTATTACTTGATTACATTAAATACTCCATAGAGTTAAGAAAATCATACTTATAAGTCATCAACCTCTTTCATGGACACAGCACCGATGTTCAGGATTTTTTCGAGGTACTCGGTGAAATCGAGAGCGGGTATTTCAAAAGGAACATCTTTCCATTTTTTAGGAGCCAAGATAACTCCAGTATTAAATTTCAATCCAAAGTTTTTGATGCTGATACATGGTAAGCGAGCCCCGTCGTATACAATCATAGTCCCCCAGTTTTTGTTACAGCTTCCACACAGTAACTTTCCCACATTCTCAATGTTGGCAAACTCAATAGACTCCGGATACTCCTCAAGTTTATACTTTTCTTTGAATTCATCTTCTGGATTTACATGGTGCATGTTCTCAATTTTACGTAACTCTTTAGCATTACATGCCACCACGCTACACTTACGACAGAAGAGGCTAGCTCTGTCAGCAGTGACAAGTTGCCTCCTTTGTACGACCACATTTGCTTTCATTTTACGTTCATTCAAAGTTGCCACCTGAACTTTTTTAACCTAAAAGAAATATGAAATAAACACACAGTTATTTATACTTTCTGAAACATACATTGGACAGAAACAAACAAATCTTTCAAATACATCATGATTATATGGGAATGTTAAAACTACACCTGTAATCTATAGAATAAATTATAATTCCCATTTATATGTCATTCCTGATTTCAACCAAAAACAATAAGAGAAGCTCATAATTATCAATATGACACTTCAAATACGTCAAGCATATAGACTTTATTTCATTTCCTTTATTTTAGAAGACTTGATCCTGCAAATCTGTTTTATGATTTTATCCCCTAAAAATAATGATATCACAATACTGCATTTATTATATCAAAAACCCATCTCCAGTACAAGTGCACATAAACCAAATACTGTAAAAGGGTTAATTATGCACTGGGTTTTAATTTTGCTTATTTGGCTGACTGTAAAATGGGCTAAATTACTGAAAAATACTTTATTTTCGTTTGGAATTAATTTTTGCTATTTTCGCTGAAGGAATGATTCAGTGAAAATAAAATCTAGCGAATATATCTTTTTCCCTATATTTTACAGTCAAAAATCAGTGAAAATGATTTCCACATAAATAACCCAAAAAGTCATTTCAGTGAAAATTAATTCCAGCTAAAATAAAGTATTTTAAAGTAAAACCCAGAGAGAATATGTAAAATTTATTATAGAACACATTATCTAAATGATCCACTGAATCCACTGAATGCCTGAAATGGTAAATCAGTGAAATTTAAACCTAGTGATGAAATTAGTCATTTTACAGTATTGTATTTACTGTATTGTTAAAATACGAATGTACTGAAAACGCTACTGTGAAAAGCATACACAATGTATACTTTAAATATATGTTTATTTTAAGCGTTCATGATAAACAAATCAACAGTACACGGTGGCTCTGAGAAGTGTACTTCAAGGCCAAAAAAATGATCTGTTTCTCATCTCAAGAAAAATTTTAAAAAATGATGCAATGACACCACAATATCATCAATGTTCAATATTTATTAAATAATGCTTTCAAACACATGCATTAAATGTGGATTTAGATTTCCAAAACATCTTCTAAAAAAGAAAACAAACATTTTTCCATTTTATCATAAGTGCCATGCTCTACCGGTATGCAAAATTGCAAATTAGTATACAATTAGTATTAGTATAAAGTGAGCAATTCACCTGCTTTCTGAAGTCTTCTTTGGACATCCTTTGTATGGTTGCAATTGCCTTCTTTTCCAAGCTTTCCTTATACTCATTAGTTTGCTCACGAACAGCAGCACCGGAGTTCTCACCAGCGACCAGAGTATATGTACTATCCTTAGCACGTGCTCGTCCACGAGCTTGAACCATAGCAATTTCGTTTGTGACTAAGTTATAACGAATGACGACATTGCACTCCGGAATATCAAGACCTTCCTCGGCTACAGTCGTGGCAACAAGACAGTTAAGATCACCTTTGTGGAATTTCAGGATGATGTCTTGTTGATCTTTCTGTGAAACGTTACAAAGTACAAGAATGTCAATTGAAACCCGCCAAGTGCTTTTCGACCAAATCAGAATGCTATTGTAAACTAAACATCCTGTTTCCAAGTCTGACCCTTTTTTTTTTAGGTCAAATCCTTGTTCACATAATTTGTCCTAGGACTATATTGATAAAGTGACATCAAAGGTTGGGATTGAACTCAGAGCTACATATGTAACACAATAGAGGATATGGCAGAGGCTATACCAAAGTCACTGGAGATACACCTAGCATGTTAAGATGCTATCAATCTATCTCATGCTATCAATCTATCTCAATGTTCATCTTATTAATACGAAATAAAACAATTTGAGTTGTTCTTTGTTTGTTTCCATGTTTCAGGCTATTGAAATATTTAATTCTACAATCATTACCACCAACTAAAAAACACTATTATATTAAAAACAGCCAATGAAATCAAATTCAGCCACGTCCAAAAATAATTATTTGCTTCTGGTCCAATTTACTTTTTGAGAGCTAAATATTTCTAATACAAAATATTTTGCCCAAAGTTGACAATGGTGCTCAAAGGGTTATTGAAATATATACCTGTGTCATGCTCTTACTAGTGCTGTTTGGACCAGTTCCAGTCAGTCTATCTACTTTCAGAAAATTCAAGTCAGGCGTGTTCTTAATCCAGGAAACCAGTGCCTTGGTGGATTCTCTAGTCTTGGTAAAGATTATACCACGAGATCCTTCCTTAGTGGAATACTCTTTTTCTAACTGTGATTGCAATCTCTTCAATTTGGGATTTTCAAACATTTTTTTCTTTGAGATCTTCACTAAATTGTAATAATGTTCTGTATTAAAAATGTATAAAAGTTTTAATTAATTTATTTGTGCTGTGAAAAATGTATTATCATTTACATGGGTATTTGTCATTGGTACATAAAATTATATGCATTAATTTGCAGCTAAAAACATTTTACAAATTTAGCCAATAGCTTTAATTTTGTCAAAAGGTTGTTTTGTTTTTTTTTCCAGCAACCACATGGTTTTTCCTAATATTTTGATGAGAAGGCTCAATCAAGTAAGTACTGTAAACACATTAAAATAGCTACATGCCATTTTAGCAAACTTGGTCTGATGAATCTTAGAGTGCAAACAATCTTGTGAGAATATACCTTCTTTTTAATTTAGCAACATTTTGAATTAGCAAAATTAAGTTCAAAATTCAGCTTACCTTCAAAAATTGACAATAATTCTTTATCAGTGCTATCAAAACCCTTTTCACGTCTTTCTTCATCATCATAAAACTCCTGCAAGTAGTTCAGCGCATCTTCCATACGTACACTATCATTAATCAGCAAAGCGTCATTATACTTTCGCAGATGCTCCGCACAAGTTCGTAGTTTCCGATCCTGTTTTTTAACAGCTACAAAAAATGAAATGAATTAATCATTTTTTAGAATGTATGATAAGTGTGTATGTTTTTAAACAAAAAAGTGTGAAATTAATGTGACAAAATTCAATGAATTTAAATTTTTGTCACAAAATGAAGAAATCTGATAGAGAATTATTGCCACTGAACATGTACATAGGACCACATAACAAAAAATATTTACATGATAGTAACCAATTTTAGGAGATCTGCTAAAAGCCTGTTAAATTTAACAATTGTCAAAATTTTACGTTGTATTTGATCATAGTTAATCATTTTTTTTGGTGATGACAAGTACTATGACCCCCAACTATTTTGAAGTCAATATCCTCATAGTGCCAGGAAGTACAATTGATTGGAAAATGAATAAATTCTGGGTATTTGAAATCATGAGTATGCTTCTACCCTAAACCCTAATCGTTGAATTGTTTCTATTCATTCAATACATATGCTCATGTTATAAGACATGTTGTAAATTTCATAGTATATATTGATTAATTTGACTTGCCTGTAGTTCCTAGTCCAGTCACCCACTGTTCATAGACCTGAGTACCCAAGTCACATTTGTCAGATTCAACATCCTTGTCGTCAATAAGACTGTGAATTTTCTTCATCATTTTCTTTAGCTCATCACCGAACGGATCTTTCTCTCGGTCAGCAACAACTTCTACGACTTTGTGCGGTTTTTTGTTGTGTTCCTCCAGTCCTTTTGTTTCGGCCTGCACTGTTCTCAAGTCCATGCAGTCCAGATTAGCACAGATCTGTCAAATAATATGAGATTGTGGTTGAATTTGGATAATTAGGCTGTGGCACACAAGTAGTAGTTTTACCCCGATGGGCAAAAGAGATTCAGACAGGAGTCTGGAAATTTTGTGATGTGTATGAAAAAAAAACACTTCCTGTGGCAAATATTATATAATACTGGCAGAACTGAGTTAGGATAATCAAATTTAGTTTCTAGCTGTACTGTTTCTGAAATGTGTGATGTAGTCAATGAATATGCATTTGATTGTATTTTATCTGGTCCAGCGAGACCACATTAATTAAATATGCTCCTGTGTGTTAATTAGTTGTTAACTATGCAAATCAATTAAGCAGACTAATTCAAAACTAATACGAGAATTCCTTCGGCACTTGTTCAGAACCACTAGTTGAATGTCAATCGGAAATAGTGTTCCAGATATGATATTTATGCATTTTTATGGGATCATGTGACCATATACTGTAGAATACTTTATTTTCGCTATTTTCGCTGGAGGAATGATTCCGTGAAAATAAAATCCAGCGAATATACTTTTTTTCTTATATTTCACATTAAACTCATCAAATATCAGTGAAAATAAATTCCATACAAAACGCCCAAAAAGCCTTTTCAGCGAAAATTAATTCCAGCGGTCATAACCTTGGCATGTGTGAAAATTGAGTAAACAATATCAATGCACACTAAAAAAGCAAAGGCTTATGGGTAGATGCTTGTTTGTAAACATCAACATGCTATGAATGTGCAGGTGACAACTGTCTGGCTTTAAAACGGCAGACAGACATCGATACAACACCACATCCAAAACTGCAGATGTATTTCAAAAGTAAAATAAAATCATGTGTATTATAATTTAATTTTTGAAATTGTTGATCAAGCCCTGAACCAACAGAAAATTATTTTAATTTGGTCAAAAATTAAAATAAAAACATAGCATCAAAATTTGCGCAAAAAATAATACTGTTGGTGAACAAATTTTATTCATTTGCATAACAGGTAGTAAAAAAGGAGCCAGAATGAAACTTACCTGCAAAATATGTGTCACAGCCTTATACTCTGTCCTAGCACCACCAACACCAAGGGAAGCAGTCAAACCAAGAATTTGGGGAAGTTGATAAACTTTTTCTTCAATTTTTAATTTTAAATATTCATGCATGATATTATTATAGACTTCTCCCTTTTGTGTGTGATGGCATTCATCAAATATCAGCAAACTGAAATCTATTATGGAAAAAAAAAAAGAATTTACAAAAAAAAATTTACTTACAGCACTACAGAATCATGTTCGATATGGACCCATAACCATGCATACTACATAAATGAAAAAACATGGTTTATTTACACAAATATTTCAAGAATTTACATCACTCATGAGTTAGGAATGTTGCAATGATATGAATATCTCACCTGTGAGTTCCAATTTCTCGTTATCCTCACCATTGTTAAGAGCATTCTCCAGTATCTGAGCTGTGAGGATAACCACATCATTCTTCTCAACCAAATGTTTTAAGGAAACCCTAGCTGCACTCTCACCACAAATCTTACTAACTTTGTACTTGGAAGTCAGAAGTTTGAACTCTTTCTTGTAGTGCTGTTCCACCAATGGTACTTTGTTGACCAAGAGCAGAACTTTAGCGTTTTCACGTTGTTTTAAATGATTCAACGTGATAAACGCCGCTATCCTGGTTTTTCCACTTCCTGTTGGTGCGCTTACGATGACGTTATGACCAAAAATGGAGGGCTTAACTAATTCCGCTTGGTAAGGTCTTAGTTCAATCACAATGTCTTCTTCCGGTTCATCCACTATCAGGAAAAACAATAATAGTTAAATAATGAATCAATAAAATCAAATGTGATTCATAAATGAAAAAGTTTATATTCAACAAAAATCAAAGTAAATCTCAAATATTTTTAATAGAATTCTTGATGGTTTTTTGCTTTTTTTTGTATTGAAATTATTTGATACACTACTATGTTCTACATTTATTATTTCAAATATTGAAATCATATTGTCATTGTGGATCTAAATAAAACCAGATTTTGAAACAAATTGTCATGGATATGCATCTTAACATTTATAAAGTACATGTATGTGCCAAATTTGAATGAAAACTGACAGAGCACGTCCAAGATACCGCATAAAAAAACAAAAACAAGATGCCTGCCAGTCGACCATCTTTGATCCATCATGGACATGTATCCTAACATGTATAATCTATGTACCAAGTTTGAATGAACAACTGACAAAGCATGTCCAAAATACAACATTTTCAAAAAACAAGATGGCTGCAGTCGGCCATTTTGAATCGAATCGCTAAACCACTGCATGTGCATATGTC